TTTAGGACACGAATCATGAGTGAATTTTTGAGACATTTTGTATCATATCTTTTAAAGTATAATTATTTTGTTAAAACATGTTGAACAATATTTGTGCAGAATAAAAAGATCTGTAACATGATATCAAGAAAAAAGGGCTGACTCATCACATTAGGGGCCAATAGGGGCCGAAAGTCTTTAATCGATAACTCTTAAACAAGCAATATTTTTGTATACATTACTGAAGCAAAATTATTTATCTTAACAAACTACAACTATATATTATGATTTTTACGTCATATGTTACATAAATAAGGGCCACAAGGGGCCAGAATGCTAAATCTTTGAAGCTTTATATCTCGAAAAGGGGAAACATTTTGAAAAGTAATATTGAACAAAAGTTGTTTAGAATGATGATCTGAACAATGTGCATCCTTTGAATTTTTTTCTAAACAGCCCCTATAAGGACTTAAAGGGACGGCCCCTAAATATTTCAAGTCTACATATCTCGAAAACGAAACGAAACTTCTGAATAGTTGTTGAACAAAAAGTCTTCAGAATTACAAGACCTTTCAAGTGATATCAAGAAAAAGGGGCTAACCCCTCAAATTAGGGGCTCAGAGGGGCCAAAAGTCTTTCATCTATAACTCCTTAACGTTAAATATTTTGATATTAATTATTGAAGCAAAAATGTTCATCTTCACAATCTGCAACTATATATCTTAAAATTTTCTTCAATTATTACGTAATTAGGGGCCATAAGGGGCCAGAATGCTTAATCTTTGAAGCTTTATATCTCGAAAAGGGGAAACATTTTGAAAAGCAATATTGAACAAAAGTTGTTTAGAATGATGATCTCAACAATGTGCATCCTTTGTATTTTCCCTAAACAGCCCCTATAAGGACTTAAAGGGACGGCCCCTAAATATTTCAAGTCTACATATCTCGAAAACGAAACGAAACTTCTGAATAGTTGTTGAACAAAAAGTCTTCAGAATTACAAGACCTTTCATGTGATATCAAGAAAAAGGGGCTAACCCCTCAAATTAGGTGCTCAGAGGGGCCAAAAGTCTTTCATCTATAACTCCTTAACGTTAAATATTTTGATATTAATTATTGAAGCAAAAATGTTCATCTTCACAATCTGCAACTATATATCTTAAAATTTTCTTCAAATATTACGTAATTAGGGGCCATAAGGGGCCAGAATGCTTAATCTTTGAAGCTTTATATCTCGAAAAGGGGAAACATTTTGAAAAGCAATATTGAACAAAAGTTGTTTAGAATGATGATCTCAACAATGTGCATCCTTTGTATTTTCCCTAAACAGCCCCTATAAGGACTTAAAGGGACGGCCCCTAAATATTTCAAGTCTACATATCTCGAAAACGAAACGAAACTTCTGAATAGTTGTTGAACAAAAAGTCTTCAGAATTACAAGACCTTTTATGTGAGATCAAGAAAAAGGGGCTAACCCCTCAAATTAGGTGCTCAGAGGGGCCAAAAGTCTTTCATCTATAACTCCTTAACGTTAAATATTTTGATATTAATTATTGAAGCAAAAATGTTCATCTTCACAATCTGCAACTATATATCTTAAAATTTCCTTCAAATATTACGTAATTAGGGGCCATAAGGGGCCAGAATGCTTAATCTTTGACGCTTTATATCTCGAAAAGGGGAAATATTTTGAAAAGCAATATTGAACGAAAGTTGTTTAGAATTATGTTCTCAACAATGTGCATCCTTCGAATTTTTCCTAAACTGCCCCTATAAGGACTTAAAGGGACGGCCCTTAAATATTTCAAGTCTACATATCTTGAAAACGAAACGAAACTTCTGAATAGTTGTAGAACAAAAAATCTTCAGAATTAAAAGACCTTTCATGTGATATCAAGAAAAAGGGGCTGACCCTCTCAAATTAGGGGCTCAGAGGGCCAAATGTCTTTCATCTACAAGTCCTTAACGTTAAATATTTTGATATTAATTATTGAAGCAAAAATGTTCATCTTCACAATCTGCAACTATATATCTTAAAATTTTCATCAAATATTACGTAATTAGGGGCCATAGGGGGCCAGAATGCTTAATCTTTGACGCTTTATATCTCGAAAAGGGGAAACATTTTGAAAAGCAATATTGAACAAAAGTTGTTTAGAATGATAATTTGAACAATGTACATCCTTTGAATTTTTCCTAAACAGCCCCTATAAGGACTTAAAGGGACGGCCCCTAAATATTTCAAGTCTACATATCTCGAAAACGAAAGGAAACCTCTGAATAGTTGTTGAACAAAAACTTTTTAGAATTACAAGACCTTTTATGTGAGATCAAGAAAAAGGGGCTGACCCCTCAAATTAGGGGCTCAGAGGGGCCAAAAGTCTTTTATCTATAACCCCTTTACAGTAATTTTCATCTTCACGATCTGTTACTATAAATATTTTAAAATCTTCATCAAACATTGCGTTTTTAAGTGCCATAATGATCAAAATTTTGTTAAACATAATTGAAGCAAATTGTACGTTTTCACTATTTATATATTTATGAACGAAAATCTCAGTCAAATTCGTATCTCATCTTATCAAAAATCGGACGGAAGACCTACTCGTTGCTCGCAACGAGATCGCATCTAGTTATTATTATTTTATGATGTTTTAAAATAGGAATTATCACTACTTTAAAACATTGTTACAGTACTGTATGTACAGCTCCTCAAACAATAGCTTACAACAAACAGTAGCTTACAATTCATCACAATTACTTTTCCTTTGCTCCTCTCTGAATGAAAACCAAACAAATATGTATGTCCAAGCAAGACAAAGATTTCTGAACAATCCAACAACTTTGGAAGTTTCAGATCCAAGATCTTTTAGAATACTCAATAGTTATCATAAAGTTTATATTTTAAGTTTCTTTTCAGTCTACTTTATGCCATTGGTTAAGATTCAGAGGTGAAAATGTTCAAAGTGATCAATGCACAACAAGACATTAAATGTTGAGCCTTTAATAAAACACTCCATTTTCCTATTTTAGGCACATTTTTCTCATCAGGAAGTTTCCTTTGAAGGGGCTGGCTATTTTTTTTAAATTAATAAATCTTGACATTATAATTATTTCCTGGTTTGAAATTCCAAATTAAGTCAGTAAGTGGAAGGATCTATTTCTCTTGATTTCCTTTTTTGATAAGTTTTTGCTGTACAAGAATTAAACATAAAACATGTCTACAGATGTCTGTTTAAAATGCATAATTTTTTCATCATTATCATCATAAGCAAACATGTAACATGTACATTTGCTTATCTCAGAAGGTATTGCAATACATCAGCTATTAACCATGGCATGGCAAGGACAGACGTATTCTAATTCAATTTACATGCAAAATACTTTGGCTTTCAAGGAACATCATATCTGATCACATGAAATGTAGCCTGAATTTCTATTATTATAAAAAAACATCAGAATTCAAAAAGACTGGTGCCAAGTGCAGACAAAATCAGTGTGAGAAATATTGTTTTAGCAGCTGCAGTGAGCTGTCTTGCAAGTAACTTTTTCCAATTTATTGTTTACAAGTGTTACATATTGATGAGATGCTTCAAATACTACTGTACGAGTTGACTTTTCTTCATGTTAAACTTTCCAGCATTTGGCATTTCTTGACACCTCATGCAATGAAATTGTGATAAAGCTTGGAAAACCAAGTCATTTCAAACAAACAGCAGGCAGAAAAAAGAAAGGCTTAGAGCATACCTTGCTACAAGTTCTCCATGGTTACTGAATTAATAAACTGTTTTCCAGTTCATATTTTGATGGATTTATGCTTAAAACATGATTGATAAATCCATCCAAATATGAACTTGAAAACAAGAACAACAACAAAATGTTATTTCATGTTTTACCTAAGAAACCAGCTACCACCCAAAATTAGCCACTTCAATTGATAAAAATGCCACTTAGAAATCAAAAATTTAAAGAATAATTGTTGTAAGTCTTCAAGATTTTGTTCATAAACTTCAACCCCTAGCCTGTTACAAGTTATTACAAGTCATATCTAACCCTTTACTTTAAAATAAAGGGAAGACACTGACGAAAGCTTATTCATATAACTAGCAATGTTTCAAAATCTTGATAAGTATTTAAAGAAAGAGTACTAATTAAGATGCTGTATGAAACTGAAAGTACATCATAAACAAAATGACTTTCTTTTTGAGAATCCTGAAACATGGGGCTGCTAATCTGTGATCAGTACCTAGGTTACCCAAATGCCAAGAAAAAATTCAAGACAAGTGCATGTGGAATGCTGCAGCAGAGAGGTCATATAATCGCTGCAGATCAATTGTAATGCAAACACTGTATACTGTGAGTGTTTACCATAAACATATATTACACAACAACGACCTTGAATAAATTCAGCTTCACGTAAAACAAGAGCATGATTGATCATTTTCCTTCTCAAAACATTATATTGCTACATGAATTATGAAGATCAACAATTTTAAGTTGTAGATATAAAAGTAAATTGCAAAAATCTTGGATCAGCATACCAAACACATCCATGAGAATCCATCCCCAATGTGTTACTCCATTTGTTTTACACTAATCTCTCGCTGTGCATCAGCAGTGGTGCATAGCTGTAAAAACTCCCGTTTGCTGACGTCAGAATGAAATATGACCTAAAAAGACATTTCCAATTTTGTTCAATGTTACCATACAGTGCTTGCATCATTAAAAATTTCATATATAACAACTCACGTCGAAATGTCATTGACCACCTTAAAAAAATCGTAAACAACTTCGTAAGCGCGAAAAAATATAAACAATAGTTAGCTAGCCGCGTTTCGTATAATTAAGATTAACCATAAATTACAACCTTTAGTCTTACTATAGAATGGGGACAATTTACTTATTAATAAATATCAAAATAAAACAAAACTGCAAGCTTAGCCTAAATGAAATTAAAAAAATAATAAAATTTTAATTTTAACTACATCGGGCTCAACATGCTTAAAACATCCAACCTGAAGAGCCACGAAGTTTCGGATAAAGTTGCTCAACAGTGAGAAAGAATGGCAGAAGGTGGAGTAGATACTCCTCCTTGGGCATCACGTATTCAGTGCAGGTATCGACGGCAAATAGGCAGCAGTATTACAAATTACTTACAAGACAGAATAAATTGTTACATAATGACAGGATTTAAAAAAAACTTCTTAAGATTTCACGAAAGACCATGTCTCCATGATCTTCTTTTATGCATGTTTTAAATTTGCATTATTAGTGATGAAACAGAACTTATATGCAGGTTAATTCATCACTGTAAAGTTTGAATCACTTTACAACAGCAATATTTGCACTAAAGCCATCAAATAAAAAGAAATATCATTTGTAAAAAAAATAAAAAAAAAAAGATTTCATATAATTAAGAGTTCAGTTCTTATAAAAGTAAATGTGATACAAGTAAATTATTTTGCTAAATCTTGCAGGTATTATCTTCACGGTGTTTGTCGTCAAGGAAGTGACTGTCACTATGCACATGACAAAGCAGCAAAACCATCCAATGTCTGTCGTTACTATTTAGCTGGAAGATGTTCATATGGAGCAGGATGCAGGTATCGTATGGATGGCTCAGTGAAGAAATTAAACAATAATCTTTCATACATGACATAACATATTAGTCCTAGGGGTGTTGGATAATCAACTTGTCACAATGTCAATGAGGCAATGCATCAATTGCAATGAAGGAAACAAGGAGATTTATTTTACACCTTTTGCAAACATACCAATTATATGCATTCCCCAAATTTTCCCTTGAATATGATGGGAAATTTGGGCAATATTGCCCTCAGCTTATACGGTTAAATTTCATTATCTCAAACTCGATGGGACCCAGAAAAAAACTTTGAGATATCCATGGGTTCAAGATATTGAGGGTAAAATACTTAAAGAAAAAGGGCTTGGGACTTTCCAATCACTTCGACATATCCAATGTAGTCAAGATATCCATGTTCGAGATACCGAAGTTCAACTGTATTATGGCTTCCTCGCAATGCCAGGGGTCCTGAGTCAACACGTTGCCGTGGTACCCCTGGCCAATTTCATTCAATATTTCATGGGCTGACTGTAGCAACATCTTTTGAAAAAATTACAAATCTTGATTGTTTTTCTTATCTCTCAACCAATCATGTTAAGCTGTTCTTTGATAAACAACTTGTAACACATGCATTTGAGGAGTCAAGTTGAATCCTTTCTATTTACATTATCTAACTATTTATGAAAGCTTGAATTTGATTGGTGCTTCTCAATGAGAGAAGCAAGCTCTGAAATATTGAATGAAATTGGCCAGGGGTCCCTTGGCAATGTGTTGACTCAGGACCCCTGGCATTGTGGGCAAGCGGTAAATCTAGTCTTCCCGACTCCCGATGCCCGACTCCCGACGGTCCCGGATTTTGGTTTTTTGGCGATTTCTTTTTTATCGATGCACAGAAATTCTTCAAACTTTTCAGGCACCTTTTCTAAGTTTAAATGAATTCATTAATCCATAAAAACCTTAATAAATTTACGTATTTAATACTGGATCAGCAGTATCACCTGCCAAAAAGCGGTAAATCTAGTACTCTGTTATAAATGCAAAAACCAAAGACGGACGTCGCTGTTCTCGTAGAATCGCGATTAAATACAACAAATTGAAGTATAAATTTTTTAAAGAAATAAGAGGAAAACCTCATTTACATGCCAATTAATTTGCATGCACAAAAACCCCACACTTGTAGAACTTTGCCACAACATGTTTGAATGTGTTCCCAGGCTCTACGACGTGAACGTGGTTCTACCTCAGATTTTCAATCTAATTAAAATATTATATTTTATATTTCATTTTAGTCACATCTTTTGGAATTACGTTTGCATTTTAATTAATTATATGTTTACCCTATTAAATGCAATAGATTTAAAAAAAAAAAAACATGCATACAATTTATGAATCATCTAACAGTATTCCCTGGCACAACCAAGTTACTATAGCTTGGACTGTATATCTCTTCACTTTGAACTGTATCAGATGATTAGGAATTTAATTATTTTATCCAAGCTGACAGTGCTAAAATATAGCTTTAGTTACTGAAGTGATAATTGTATTAAATAAATTTTCTATGATAAAAAATGTCTTAAAGAACCTGACTTTAAAATCACTTTGATATTATGGATTATTATAGAATTAAAATGTTTTTTTTTTTTTTTTTATTGATAACACCATGCAATTATTCCCGCATGCACTGAAATACTAAATCCATCTTTTTGAGAAAAAATATCTTCCCAATTAATATCAATATTTTTTTGATTATCTTTAATAATATTATCTACGAAACCTCACGTCTCCGTTATGTATCGATGTCCGTCTTTGGTTTTCGCATTTATAACAGAGTACTAGTTTTACCGCTTTTTGGCAGGTGATACTGCTGATTCAGTATTACATACGTAAATTGGTAAAGGTTTTTATGTATTAATGAATTCATTTAAACTTAAAAAATGTGCCTGAAAAGTTTGAAGAATTTCTGTGCATCGATAAAAAAGAAATCACCAAAAAAACCAAAATCCGGGACCGTTGGGAGTCGGGCGTCGGGAGTCGGGAAGACTAGATTTACCGCTTGCCGGCATTGTGAGGATGATATTATGGCTGTGAAAATAGGACTTACCCTGAATTTCTCTGTAGTGGTGATATTAAAGGTGAAACAACTGGTAAACAGCCATGTATGCCATATTAGTTTTCCTATCTCCCATAACAGCATTAGGGTATATATACCCTTCACCTGGCACTCATGGCCTGTGTGTAGTGTTTATTACATTGTCTTAGTGTTAACATTTGATTTTGTTGTTTTTACATGTATTTTGTGCTTGTTTTTAAAGTGAATTGACCTATGTAATTGATGTTACTTTTTCTCCTGATGTGATATTGTTGCATTCATTTAAAGATTGTATCATGACCGAGTAACATTGGCGATATAAGACACATCCACACAGGTTGGATTTGTACAGCAAAATACTTTGATCCTTGGGGAAGTCAGGGGCTTATATAGTGGCTCAAGAATAAGATGCTTTCATAGAGAAATATGACAGAGAAGAATAAATATTTTCCTTTTACAAGTTGTGTTCAGCTTTTATGATCCCTGTTTCAAAACACTTGCTTTGTAATTAATTTTAATTCATGGAATTTTGCCAAGTTACCATGGTTACAATTAAGACATTGACAAATTATGTCATTGATTCTTTTTTTGCTATTTTCAGATTATTTTTAAATATTTAATGCTCAATTTGGCATCCAGTGGACATTTTTACACATGAAACTCATTTTTTATTACCCTGTCCAATAATACATGTACGACAAAGTATACAGTTAACTCAAGATACAATAATTCTTTGGTTTGTGGGGACAGTAAACAAATATTTGAGTGCTGTAAAATACAAATGTGCAAAGATATAATACACTCTCCTCAGCTTTTCCAGCCTTACTCATTTAAATCAAAGTATTTATCATTTTTATTATCACATCTGGATCTCTGGACTTATTTTTTTGGTAAGGTACAACATTTTCATTGAATCCTTTGATTTCTTTATGGTTTATTTGAAATCAACAGATATGATCACTCCAAACCCAAACCACCAGCTCTGAAACCTACTCCAGTTCAACGAATAATGAATCCTGTACAAAATAAAACAGAATTATCACAACTGAAAATGACATCATTGAAGAAAGGGGGTCAATCAGATACGTCACAGCTGCCTTCCACCCCTAAACCTCCCGAGCAGTGGGTCAAGGCTACAGAGTTTGTTCCTGGAAAACCATATATATGTTCCTCAAGTAAGTTCTTTGTATGATTAAGCTGCAGGTTCTCTTTTAGTCAAGTGATTTATTACAGTATTTATTTTATATTATAATATATGATTTATAGATTTATTTTTGATTTCCTTGTATCATTTTATAAATGATACTAACTGATAAGTAATTTATAGAAATAAGAGTGCCATGATTTTTTATAAAATTGTACTTGAAGGCCAGAAAGTAGTAATCTCAATTCTCAGACACTGCTGTATTTAACACTGCCACATGGATCAATTTTATGCATGTATTGAAAGGGGGAACACTTTTTTTTTTCATTTTTCCAAGTTGAAAAAAAAATGAGTTATTCCCCTTTTTCTTTTTTATCCATACTCTGACCAATCGCATCATCTCGGGTCTTTCTGTCGGAGGTCGGAAAAAACAACCTCGAATGTATTAACATCACCGGATGTTAAAAATTCATACAAAATGGAGTCGCTTCCTATTTATTAAAGCATTGGAAAGACAGAGTTAGAAGTCACTCCTGTAGTATATTTAAGGTAATATCTTTACATTCAATAAAGTTGAGTTCCAAACTCTACAGATAAGAGGTCTCCCTACATTTATTTCAAAGTTTATGAAAAGGGGGGTTGTCATGGACGCCTGCGTAACACATTCGAGGTTGTTTTTCCGCTTGTTGGAAAGGCCCGAGAAGTTTCGATTGTACTCTGACATCCACACTGGCAGGACTCTATACTGATACAAATTAATCCAGATATCATCAGAAACATGACAAACAAATGACAGGACTCCATACTGATAGAAAAAATCTAGACATCTTCAGAAACAAGACAAACACATGACAAGACTCCATACTGATAAAAAATCCAGATATCATCAGAAACATGACAAACACATGACAGGACACCATACTGATCAAAAATCCAGGTACCAAAACATGACAAAACACATGACAGGACTCGATACTGATTAAAAAAAACACTCTATCGATTTATTTCTCTCCATAGTACCAGCATCTTATGCCAAAGCCACCAAAGATGAAGAATCCGATTTGTCATTGTGTTATGGAGAGGAGCCTGTCTCTAGTGGGCAGTTATTGTGCCCATATTTGGCAAAAGGGGTGTGTCCCTATGACTCGGAGTGCGAGTATATCCATGGAGACATGTGTGAGATGTGTGGATTGGCTGTTCTGCACCCAACAGACAAAATTCAAAGAGAGGAACACATGAAGGTTGGGGACTATATTTCATTGGATACTACTTCTCAGAGTGTAACCTAGGATGAAAATTTCCATATTATATTATTTTTGTATTATATTTTGATCCAAAATATATCAAATATCTGTGGACATCAGCAAAGAATTTTACAAGTCTTTGAATACATACATGTACATGAATTTTGTAAAAAAAAAAAAAAAAAAACATGGTTTGTGGTGTAAATATAATGGATTTAACAAGTCCTTAAATAAGTACATGAATTTTGCGGAAACCATGGTTTGTGGTCAAAATGTGATACTTGTTTCAGAAATTCTTGTATTCATTATGTATTATTTGACAGATGTGTGAAGCAGAGTTGGAGGAAAACATGGAACATTCTTTTGCCATTGCCCGGAGTAAAGATAAGGCGTGTGGAATCTGTATGGACATTGTGATGGAGAAGCAGCCCCCTACAGAACAGAGATTTGGTATCATGTCTGACTGTAATCATATCTTCTGTCTGTCCTGTATCAGAAAGTGGAGAGGTGCCAAACAGTTTGAAAGGAAGATAGTCAGGTAATTAGCCCCCACCCCCACTCACAGACACACACATAGAATATGTCTGACTGTAGTCACATCTTCTGTCTGTCCTGTATCAGAAAGTGGAGAGGTGCCAAACAGTTTGAAAGTTTGAAAAGTCGAATTCAACCATGAAACGGTATGTGCTAATCCCGCACAGAGAACAAAATTAAAAAATGAGTGGGTTTAAAAATTCAATTCCAGTGTTTAAATATTGCATGAGTAAATAGAACTTGTTTACGTCTGATTTTCCCTGAAAACATTAAGATGTTTATCCGATGTAATTTTAGAAACAGATTTTTAGCCAATCAAAATCTCTGTGCGGGATTAGGCGATTAGCACATATCATTTCATGGTTGAATTCGACTTTTCCACTCGACGAGCAGAGTTTTGAAGCTGTTTATGGAGACTAAAGAAAATAAAGACAAGCATGCCATATATGGTTGTGTAGATAAATTATCGTAGAAAACATAGGTATAAACAGTTTGTCAGTGTATTTCCTCTGAAAGTGTAAATGAGTGCGATTCTGGGGGAGGGGGGTACTCTGTGTAATTCGGAGTTAGATACCTTGTGTTATTATTATACTATGGGTTAAAAATTTATTACCGAAACATGTGCCTGTGCTTCATTCATAAAAGTAACAAAAAAGGAAATATCATCATTCAAGTTATCCTTTTTGCTATTCTTCCATCTTTTTGGTTAGAAGTTAGATCACTAGAATCATACAATTATTGTGCATTTTGAGATGTTGTTAATCATTAAAACAAATGAATAAACTAAACCAGTTAGACTAGGACATGAAAATTTTACAAGACTTGACCTCAACTTGACTAGATCTGACCTTACATCCCTGGTTCACTGAATTAATAAACAAGAATATGAGCATGAAAAAAAAAAATAACTGTCGAATAACATTGTCAATGTAATCAAATCGATGCTTATCATAAGTTGGTTTTGGTGCAAAGAAAATAATGTAATAAACTTCTTTTTATTGAGTTCAAGAAAATATATGAATAGGAGATTTTTTGTATTTCAACTTGATTTAGTTATATGACTGGTTAAATTAAAACATATACCATGCAACAGTTGTCATAATTAAAATGACCTTGCAGGAAGGATAAATCTTAGAAGAGAAATGGCGGCATGATTAATGAAATAATGATATGTATGCTAATAATAGTGTATTGAATAATTGTTAATAGTATATTAAATCAAGGACTTATAATCAGTAACTGTTGGTGTACATTAAAACAAGTAGAGTTTTCATGGTTGTTTTATTTTGCTTTGGGATCGAAAAATGAAAGTGAAACCTGATCTAATACATCGTTAAACAAGAAAAATCTGTAAATTTTGTGGCAAGTTTTACTTCATTTGATCTTTGATAGAAATATTTTTATACGATCTATCATTAGTAGGGCTACCTTGAAGCAAAATGAACTAGACTGAACCATACTTTTACTAGTCTGATTTGGTTGGACGTGCCTTAATGTCTATGACCTAAGTGTCAGTCATGGTACTAATTTATTGGGCCAAGGTCTTCAGAAATAAAAACATGGAAGTCAACTTTGGGCTATAATATATAAACATGAAGTCATTAAAAATGAACACTTGGCATATATTGTGGTTATTCAAGTATATCTGGGAAGGTCAAGGTCATTGGGGGACAATAGTAAAATATTACAATATGTTGCAAATTTGTATCAGAGAAACTCTAAAGAAGTTGGGGGATTATTTATGTGAAACTATTGAGTTGTGTTGTTCAGGTGACCATCAAGGTCCATGGGCCTCTTGCTTTTATATAATTGTTTCAAGTCAAAATATTTCTTTCTGTAGAGCTTGTCCAGAGTGTCGAGTTAGCTCTAACTTTGTAACACCAAGCAAATACTGGGTAGAATCAGACGAGGAGAAGAATAAACTGATCGCTGGCTACAAAGAAGCGCTAAGGTACGTAAAACAAAGAAGCACTAAGGTACGTAAAACAAAGAAGCACTAAGGTACGAAAACAAAGAAGCACTAAGGTACGTAAAACAAAGAAGCACTAAGGTACGTAAAACAAAGAAGCACTAAGGTACGTAAAACAAAGAAGCACTAAGGTACGTAAAACAAAGAAGCACTAAGGTACGTAAAACAAAGAAGCACTAAGGTACGTAAAACAAATACGTGATAGAATGAGGTTAGGAGATATATAAACTGATTGCTCGCTACAAAAAAGCACTAAGGTATGGAAAACAAATATCTGGTAGGATGAGGTCAGGAGCTGTAAAATAAGCACTAAATTTGTATCTGAATGTGTCTTTGTAGCCCTATATTTTATCTGAATATCAGAGACATTATCACTCTTGTCGTTATTACTCAGCCTCCAAGAAGAGAAGCAATTCCAGCTCACATACGATATTATAATGTGATTGATTAATATAAAATTCTGTATATACCATTGTATATACATCTTTTTATGTTAGAATTAAAACCTCTCCTCCTTTTTCCTTTCAAACTTTAAAAGAGGAAAGTAGGATCTCGTATTAACATGATCATTTTAGATGTCAAAAATGTCAAAACATATATTTTTTTTTGACAGTAATAAATCCTGCAAGTATTTCAAGCAAGGTTCTGGAGACTGCCCCTTTAATGACAAGTGTTTCTATCTCCATGCTCTCCCTGACGGGACAATCGCGGAACCTAAGCCTCGCATCAGACGTAGAAGGCAGAATGCTGAGGGTGATATTGACGTGATGGGCCGCATCAACCTTTGGGACTTTCTGGAGGAATATGACAATCGCCTGGATCAGCTCTTTCTGTTAGAACTGGAAGCTGAGCTGGATAATGTTCTCCTGGATCTCTGGTTTGTTGGTGATGAATCCACTGATGATGAGGAATTTTGATAATACCCTGTATAGATTTTGTATGATATAAGTCTACTGATGATGATGAATTTTGATAATACCCTGTAGTTTGTTGCCTGCTTCAAGCAAAATGTGTAAATATGATCTTTTTATGTGATACTAAATGTACATAATAGGTTTAGGTTTTGATTAACTAAATATGTGAATCTTTCATCTGCATTTATGAAACAATAGTCCAGTGACTTCTTTGTATATATTTATGTGAGTTATTTTGAGTGTACATGTAATCACTAGGCATATGTTATACAATGCGTACATGGAAAATTGGCATTATGTTGTATGAGAAGAGAATGAAAGAAATATACAGCAAAATGGTTTACTCTTATTGTCACTGGAGTTAGAGATATGTATAAGGTTAGATGACAAGTTGATTCTATCACCAAACAGCATGTAGTTACTTCCCCTTGACACCATGTATGCCATAGAATGTTATTATTGTGACTGTGATATCAGTATGTATGACTAAACATGTAATACATGATACTATATATATGGGCTAATCAAGCTGGGGGGGGGGGGGGATGGAGTATAGTGATGAGATGTCTATCCATACATCCTTCCGTATATCCATACACTTTGGGGTTCCCATCTCTTATCTGCATGAGACTTTCACAGAATCTTTGTCACATAGTGCCATTGTGCACCTTCTATTTTACCTTTTGATTGGACAGGAATTAGGGGCTTCCCATAGCAAAACATGGACACTGCCATTCTTTCTATATCATTGGAGGACCCACCTCTTAGCACATTTCCTCCTATACCACTGAATAGACTTCACAGAATCTTTATTACATTGTTCAGTTGTGCATCTTCTATTTAATGTTCTGATCAGACTGATATTTCGAGTTTTCACAGCAATAAAATGGACTTTGCCATTATATTCATGGGAGCGGGGTGGGTGGGGGTATCATTTTGTGAGTTCAGTGCTCACAGTACCTCTAATTTTCATTTATGAAGTAACAGTTTAAAATTATCAACCACTGTTTTTACTGTGCTATTGTTGAGGCTGTAATGCAATCAAAATATAAGAACATTGCCAAGTTAGTTACAAATGTTCCTCAGAGATTCAGTAAATACAGATCCTGTTCTGTTCCGTTTGTTTAGATATGCTTGGGTGACTAAATAGTTCTCTTATATGTGTACCTGAAATGGTCAACTTTCGCTGACTTCCCCACCTTCGTTTTGATTGAAAAAATATTCCCTTTATATTTGACAGGAATTTAATGTGAATATTTTCCCCTTCTTTCCTATGTAACTGTGTGAATGAGCAGGTATAAGTAAACAAAATAAAGAAGAGAAGCAAATATATTTTTTGTTGTTGTACAAATCTGAGAGGATATATATAAGTCTAGCGTACAGTGTACTTTTTAAAGCTGAACACGATTCGTAAAAGGAATGTGTCCGCCATATTCGATTGGTCTCTCGCTATATCTAAGGGCCGCTATATAAAGCCGCTCACTTACTCACTGTTCAGTGTAATCAATCGTCACCGGTGTAGACGGACGTATGCTATACAGCACTCGGTACCGACAAAAAAATAACTGTGTACTTCTTCTAATGCAGGAGAGTAAGATACCAAAGAAACTTACAACAGTTGCACAGATCAGTGCAGTGATACAAACACAAATACACGTTACTGCAATAAAATGTAAACAAAGGTAATGCTAGATGACCAGCACTATTACGGGTCGCCATTCCACGCCGATACCCGTGACAATAAAGCAGTCAGGTGTAACGAATGCGAAGAGTATACCCCGGTGCTGATATCGCAGTTAGTAATATCGAAAATTTACCAGTTGTGTTCAGCTTTAAGTACTGTAAACCAACTTTTATTCACGTGCAAGAAATATACGCGAGTTTCGCGACCTTGCTTTACTGACGAATATTTCTCACCGCAAACTATTCAATACGTTCTATTTCCACTATGGAAGAGTTATACGTCTTAGTGCGCTCTTTTGTGAAAAAGTCGGAAAATGTACAAATCTCGCGGGATTTCTGGGACAAACGTAACATAAACATGTAAACAATATGTTGAATGTCGATGAACAAATCTTAAGAAAATGCAAATGAAATATTTTATTGTTGTGAACTTTATATACATCAAGAGTAGGAATGACAACGATATCAAATTATATCTATTTTTGATCGTATGTATCTATTCATCGTATGGTACCTCCAAATACAATACACATGCCTCGGAAATGTCGTATTTTTTTTTATTAATGGATGATAAATTTAGGGTTCTCGCTCTCTTACATATGTCTTTTAGTTCTTCTATTCTTTGATTGGAATGACAAATACATTTAACATTTAAAATTGGATTGAGATTGGCATGTTTTGTATTATCCGCAACGCCATGCTGTCCCAGTCAGACGACCAAACGCGCCTCTAATTTTGAAGAGTTCACTAATGGAAATATAACGTATTCCTTATGTATTCATGTGGAATATTTCCTCGGTCGCAAAACTAGTCGACGCGGATAAGTTTGAAACTTACAAATCGTGAATAAAAAAATTTGGTGAATAATAGTTGGTTCATAGTATTAATCATCAGGAAGGTAGACTTATTGCTATGAAAATCGTTCTTCACTATTTTTATAGGGTTTTTTGGAAAGAAGTATAGCATATTTTATTTTTGTATTGTACCTGTAGGTTTGCTTCAGTTGAAAAAAAAACTGAGGGACTTCAGACTTGATGATTTTAAGGCAGATAATTTTCTGGCGGCCGTCAGAAATTATATGGCGGCCGCCAGTTAACCTTCTGGCGGCCGCCAGATCTATTTATCTGGCGGCCGCCAGAAACCAGGGGCCTATATACTAGGTCCCTGCAGAAACTTATCTGGCGGCCGCCAGATAAAATATTTTTTCTACCTGGCACATACCAGCTTCCGTATAAAAGCCGTTTTAGCGCCATATAATGTCATATCGGTCAATAGTCTTTTTTAACAGTTCTAGTCCAACAGTCGCCGGAACAGTCAAAATGCTGAACTTATTTAGGCATAGTCTGTAGAAACTATATATAAATTGTTGATATAACTTGTTGATTTTTGTTGGACGATCTCTCCAAATCTGAGGTTCAATGGATCGTAAAATACTTAACACTGTATCGGTCCAACATCTTACCGAAAGGTTCAACATTATATATTTAAGAGATGAATTTGAGAATTCATGAGGACATGAACTACGGCGTTTCAACGTTTCACGCCGACATATTTCATGAAGCGCGCTAGCGCTTCATGATAAATATGCAGACGTGAATGTACCTCATGAATTCTCAAAAATTTAAATCATTATATCTTATATTTACATTATTTTTCTGATGACTTACCACATATTTTTGTAATTCAACGATCATTTTTCATAAAAGTTTGCACTATTTTTTTTTTACTTCAGTCGCTTCACAATGGAAATATTCTTACTCATCCCACGGTAGTTCATGAGAACATGAACTTTTTCTAATATGCAAAGAATCTTAAGGAAAAATATTTGGAAATGTAAATATAAATTATTATTTTGGATGGTTCATGAAAATTTTTTAAGATGTTAGGCTTTTCTGTAGGATAAATTGAAATAGAATAGGATTTTTAAAAGGGATAACAAATCGGTTTTATTTGACGGATAAATTACATTATCCCCCGTTGAAAATGTAATAAATACAATCATATATACATATATATTCTACTTGTATGAAATATGAAGATAACGAACAGTATTCAATTTCGAAAGTCCAATAAAACGATACAAATTTGGAGTAGAGCAAACACGGAACTCAAAATTTAGAGGTGCATGGGATCAGGTGCCATGGAGGAGTGAGCATCCACTGCCGACCAGTCACACCCACCGTGTGCTCCTTGTCATAATCGGAAAAAACCCGGAACAATCCATAGACAGTTAAGTGTATAACTAATGGCCTAACAATTAGTATGAAAAACATCAGTCAGCATTTGACTCAATGATAGATTGCATGTGATGACAGACTCAATGTATCGACCGTAAAACTTGCAATATGATGACTTCAAACGAGACTGTTGATATCCTTGTTTCATCAACTTGTTTTTCAATAGCTTGTCTCGTTTTAGAAATTGTTCATACGTAGAACATGCTCTTGCGTATCGAATCAACTGAGAGACATAAACCCCATATGCAAGTGATAAGGGTATATTGCTACATAAGTAAGGGAAGTTGACGATTGAAAAGTTGAAGACATCACGTTTATCATAAAGCTTTGTTGTTGGGTTACCATTAACTTCTTTTCTAGTAAAATCAGATGTGTCAGAATCTGTGGTATCTTTTATTTCAAGCTCACTGGGATATATCGAGTCGACATATGAATGAACGTAACTATTGTTAATTGATAATAGGTCGCCGATATATCGATTTGTCGAGTTGAAGGCCACAGCAAGTGTTTTCTTGTTCTCATGTAGAAGTTTTTTAATAAATTCTGCTTCATATGAATACAAAAATAGGTCTGCTAATAAGGGGGCGCAATTGGTACCCATGCGAATTCCAATAGATTGTTGGAAGACCTGATCTCCAAAGTTTGATCCTTTACATAACCACATAGGAACGGAAAAAGGACACAAATAGAATGTATAAGTGATTGTTTCTTTAGTATCATGACAAAAAGAATTGTTCTGTTTCATCTGGTTTGTATGGTGGCATATTTCTGCCACAACTTGTCAGATATTTATGTCGACCTGTCAGATGTTTATGTCAACTTGTCAGATAATTATGTCGACTTGTCATCAAATCATCAGGACCAGGAACTTGGTATCTTGTTATTAAGCAAGTTAAAACCACTAACTGACATCTACTTGTCATCATAATATCTGACAAGTCGACATCATTTCATGAAAAGTAAATATATTTTTCTATCAAGACGACATAATTTTCTGACAAGTCGACATAATTTTCTGACAAGTCGACTTGTCAGATGTTTTGTCGACTTGTCAGATAATGATGTTTACTTGTAGAATATTATGTCGACTTATCAGAAAATTATGTCGGCTTGTCAGATAATATATTGACTTGTCAGATCTTTATGTTGACTCGTCAGATACTTATGTCGACTTGTCAGAAAAATATTTTGCCAATTGACTGCCTAAACTGGCATGGATACATTTTCATGTTGAATTTTTAAACACATGAATAAATGACAAGTTAACAAAAAGATCTGTCAAGTCGACTTGATTATCTGACAAGACAACAGAGAGATCTGACAAGTCCACATAATTATCTGTCAAGTATGGTGTTCCGTTGGGGCCACTCGCACCTTCGCACTCTCGCCTTTAGGGCGAAGATGCGAGAGTGCGAAGTTGCGAAGGCGAAGATGCGAAGGCGAAGCGCGAAGATGCGAAGGCGAAACTGCGAGGGTACGAAGGCGAAGGAGCGATACTAATATCGCACTTTCGCCTTCGCATTTTACTTCCGTACTGTACTTCTACTAGTATCGCTCCTTCGCCTTCACACCTCCGCCCTCGCACTTTCGCCTTCGCCTTTTTTTTTGTGGAGTTCTCTATCGTATGCTTACAAAGTAGATCGAAGTATATCTATTGCATATGTGCACATTTATATTACACCAGGATATATCAAAATCAAACTTTTTACAGTTTATTGATCATGATAAAATTTTATGTTCCCTGTCCTTTAGTTGAGACTGGGATGCACACCACCACTACGAATACATATATATATCTATATATAATTTTGCTCCTCCACCATGCACCAGTTACAACATTCATTTACCATCATTACATTGTATAATCTACCATTGTATATAAAATTAGAGTGTCCAGTGATCAATTACACTATTTCTCGTTTCATAAAATAGCAAGTGTATATTTATTAGTAAAAATGTCATTGTACAACGAATTCCAACCATTGCTTGGCATCCATTTTGGCGCCGTCTAACTAATCTAGCGCATGCGTACCAATAACATCCAAGAGCCCACTAAAATTGACTCATAACGATAAAGAGCTCCACAGAAGTAAACTGCGAAGGCGAAAGTGCGAAGTTGCGAAGGCGAAAGTGCGATATTAGTATCGCTCCTTCGCCTTCGCACCCTCGCAGTTTCGCCTTCGCGCTTCGCCGTCGCATCTTCGCACTTTCGCTCCTTCGCCTTCGCACTCCCGCATCTTCGCCCTAAAGGCGAGAGTGCGAAGGTGCGAGTGGCCCCAACGGAACACCATAGTCAAGTGGAGGGGGGGGGGGGGGCAGAAATACCATCAAATGTTTGCATTCCATAAATTTGCTGTTTATAAAAAAAAAATTCAAGCTGAAAACATCGAAGTTTTGTGTTCTCCTTT